GGTTGTTTCTACGTCATCAACAAAACAGTTTGGTTGTTGCATATCTTTAAGAGTATGATCAGTAGTATTAACAAGTTAGTTGGTTTGTTACAGATTTCATACCACCATTAGTTTCCAAGATGTTACCAATAGAACTCCACTATGTTGCTAAGGTGCTATAAATACCCAATGATGAGATCAATTAAGGAAGACCTACCTTTTACACAACAAGCCTAGTGCTATTTGCATTTCAATTTTAACAAGCAATGTCTTTGTTTAATTTTCTTAGACAATTATCCTAATTTAGTCCTCAGCTCTATGCTGCCACTAGTTTTAGCTCTAGTTTTTGTTATTTTGTTTTGAACAACTCCACTAATATATTTGATTTCTTATAATTCAATTACTGTACTTTGCTCTAAATTCATCTTCCTAACTTCCTTTAAATTTAGTCTTGTGCTTCCTTGATTGTATAGTCTTTATTTCATTCTTCATGCTTACATGCTTTCGCAGCAAGTTAGTTTTCCTATCATACGCTTTCTTTCTTCTCTTTTCCTTTATGTGTCTCTTTTATTTTAATTAGCAAACTAACATTTTGGCCCTAGTTGTGGAAGCCCCTAATGTTCTTTCATGGCAATTATTTATGAACGTTTATGCCGCAATGCATCCCCATTTCTATGACAATTGTTTGACCATGGCACCTGTCATAATTTATTTAACCAGTACTCTTCCATCAACTCATAATCGAGTTCTATGCTTGGAAATAGTGAAACTCACTGGGAATCCCTCTTTCTCATTTTGAGTAAAGTGAGTGGCATGTTTTTGTAGTCTTATTTGCCACGCAACCAAAAAGAGAGATTTTGGAGGCAACACCTAGCAAAAATCTGATGTTGATTTGGAGGAGAGCGTGCATTATGAATCAAAAAATCAACTAAGAAGATACAAAGCCCAATTCTATGAACTCCCAAAAAAGCCCTTAAACATTGTTGCATTGATTGGATTTCTTGTTATTTCCCGTCTTTTTTCGAAGGCCCAACAATATTGCTAAACTATTCACATATTTTGGCCCCAACCTATGGTCTTTGTGCCACATTAATTTTAAAACCCAAGATTAGGATCATATGCCTATGTGATTTGTTTCAGTCTTTTATTGATCTATTGGTTTGTACACCCTCTTCTTTGCACAGTAGTAATTTGGATGAAAATCCCATGTTCAAGTTAGAAGTTTGAAAATCAATTAAAAGAATTGATGGCAATTTTGTTTACTTTCTATAGTTTTGAGTTGTTCCTATTGCTTGAGTTTGGTTTCTACGTGTTCCTCCCTCCCACGATACAAGGTTGTTGCTACCTTTCCTTAACGGTGTAAATCTTTTTATCAATTCTTGAGTTTGGTTATTACAGCAAGTATACATTCTACGTTGTTTGACATTTACTATTCTATATGTACAAAGAAAATTTCATCTCCATTTTATAATTAAGTAGATAAGATTTTTTTTTCATGGTCTTGATTTTGCATTTTCATGAAAACCT